ATAGTTTGCATTGTATTTTCTTAAGTAAGTTGAATGAAATAATTTATTCTTCTTCCCTGCTTCTAGCAGGCTCCTATCCGGTTTCTTCTCTATTATTTTTAGTTCTTGCATTCTGTCAATTCTCGTTTAATATTCTCAGCTCTAAATCAGCTTCCCTTCCTTGATTTTATCATGGTATTAGAGCTCAAATCCTTGAATTCATCAGCATTTGTGTACACTTACTATATATAGACACAAATATGAATTATTGATGGTATTTTAAGCAAACAAGAGGAGAGAAACGAAGTTTTTCATATATGTTTTTGCTGCTGCACGGCTGAATGCATATATGTCTTACTTGGATACAATTCAAAAATATTTTTACAAACAACTATCCTACCTACTATCACTAAACCATACTTGACAATGCACTAACTTGTCGTAGGTCCAAACTAGCTTAAGTTACGCNTACTTTACAATGTACTAACTTGTAGTAGGTCCAGACTGGTCTAACTTTACATCATTACATAAGTTAGACTTCAACCAAAAACATGTGACTAATGGTAACCAAAAATATTTGTTAAGTGACAACAAAAGTGTCACACACATGGCTGCCTTCAACACTCCTCCTTGACACTTTTGTTGGAAACACAGACATTTTCACAGTGTTTCAAACCTATCCTTTGGTAAGGCCATAGTCAAAATATCAGCATATTGATCAAAGGAACTGCAGTGCACCAGCTTCACTTCAAGATTTTCACGTGCTAGCCTGATTGAATGATATTTGATCTTAATGTGCTTGGTCCTTCCATGAAATATTGGGTTTTTGACCATTGCAATAGTTGACTGATTGTCACAATAGATCACAGTTGCATCAGATTGATTATGGCTAAGATCTTCCAATACTTTCCTCAACCAAATAGCTTGGTTAGTTGCCTCTGAAGCTGCAATGTATTCTGCCTTAGCAGTTGATTGAGCCACCATTTTTTGCTTCATTGAGTTCCAGCAATAATACTTGATCCCAGATAAAATGCATAACCTGAAGTGCTTTTCATATCGTTAAAGGATCCTGCCCAATCACTATCTGTATAGCCAACTAAATCCATGGTTTTTGACTTCCTGAACCAAATTCCAATTTCCTCAGTACCTCTTGCATATCTCAGCAGTCTCTTTGCTGCCTGAAAATGAAGTTCACGTGGTTCTTGTCTAAATCTCGATAGAAGATTGGCTGCAAAGATCATGTTTGGTAGAGGTTAAGTACAACAGACTTCCAGCTATGCTTCTATACACCTTTTCATCTATTTTCTTAGTTCCATCATCCTTTATCAATTTCACATTTTGAACCAATGGAGTACTTACTGACTTGCAGTTCTCCATATTGAACTTTTTCAACATCTCCCTAACATATTTCCTTTGACAAACAAATATGCCATTTTGAGTTTGGAATATCTCCATGCCAAGAAAGCAGTGCAACTCCTCCAAATCTATCATTTCAAATACCATTTTAAGTTTATCCTACACCTTTTTAATCATTGAACAACTGCTGCCAGTAATTGAGAGATCATCAACATACAATGAGATGATGATCATCTCTTCTTTTTCTTTCTTTATGTACAGAGTTTGTTCATTCATACTCCTTAAAAAACTAAGTCTGTTTAGGTGTTCATTGATCTTGCTGTACCAGGATCTTGGAGCTGTTTTAAGCCATACAAAGCCTTCCTTAGAAAATATAACTTCTTCTCATTCTCTGTAACTTGAAACCTTCAGGTTGTTCAATATATATTTCTTCATCCAAGTGTCCATTCAGAAATGCTGACTTGACATCTAATTGGTATATCTTTCAGCCTCTATGAACTACAATGGAAAACAACAATATGATGGTTTCATACCTAGCTACTGGTGCAAACGTGTAATTGAAGTCTACACCATATTGTTGAGCATATCCCTTCACTACCAACCCTACCTTAAGTCTATTCACCGAGCCATCTGGATTTAGCTTTGATTTATACACCTATTTTACTCCAATTACATGTTTGTCTTTTGGCCTGTCAACCAGTAGTCAAGTTTCATTCTTTCAATCATATTTAGCTTCTTCTTCATTACAGCCATCCACTCTTTAGAACTCTAAGCTTCAGCAAAGTTTGAAGGCTCCAATTGAGCTTAATTACATCTGGCATATACATTAGCAAGTGGTCTAGTTCTTAGCACTTCATTTTCAGAGTTTGAATCACTACCGGTTCCCTTTTCTTCTTCATTTACATCAGTGTCAACTGTCTGAGGAATAACATTTGGAACATGAAGTTGATTGCTTACAGATGATTCCCAGTTCCATGAGGCTTCTTCATCTACTTTGATGTTCCTGTTGGAGATTACTTTCTTGCTTTGTGGATTGAAGACTCTATAACCTTTGGCATTACTGTAGTAACCAACTAGAACTCCAACCTTAGCTTTTTGGCTCAATTTATCCCTCTTCACATCAAGTATGTAAGTATAACAAGGGTTGCCAAATATCTTCAGATGAGAGACATCGGGTTTTATTCCATACCAGGCCTCAAAAGGTGTCTTTTCTATCCAATGATACTGTTACTTCATATTTAATTGGGTTTTGCAATTAAAATCATCTTAATAAAAATTTATCTATTAACTTTTAACTAAGCATCTACCTCAAAATTTAAGGCAAGAATAAACGTAGAAGCCAAATTATGAAAATTTCATGTCAATGTCTATTTGAGCTGACGTTCGATATAATCTGATAAACAAAACAAATAACTAAAAGACAATTGACCCCGCAATTGATCTTAAGGAGCATGTACTCTCTTGATCACACACCTCCCACGGACAAGGACAGGAATGGGAACGGGAAGAGTGTAATAGAAAGGATTCGAAGCACAACGTTAAACTTTATACTTATAGGGGTTCTCCATTCCCTAGTATTCATACCTCTCAATGTTTTTAATCATGTTTGAAATGCCTCCTCCACCTGCTTCACAAAAAAATAAGTATGAATATATACAATTAAACAAGCATGAACACGTATACTAAAAGCTGGTTAATAGATGAAGTAAAAAGTTTCATATCGACAAATTTATCGTTTCTTCAAGTTGAAATAATTGAAAAACAGAACTCCAAAGAAATTCAAGAGTTCAACCGAATGATCGATATAAAAATGGTGAAAAAAAAACTCACCTAAAGAGATGGCTCTCACATACAAATGCCAGAACAAAGATGATTATTGATGGCCGTTCCATCATAATAATTACCTGCCTCATGACTTGTTGACCAATAAACGAAGCGACAAAGGCAACAACAACTAGGCAAAAAGCTTATTGTCGAGATTGAATAATCGGTGGTGCAAATTTGGTACATAGTATTAAATAACAATGTTGTTGTAACCTTTATCGATCTGTCAACAATAATTCAAATACCATTTCTCTCCATTCTTTGTAATTGGAACCCCAAACGAAAAATATTTGAGTGTAACTACTTCCATTCTAAATTGACAATATCTACAATAATTCAGTTGTTCATAATTTTCTAAAATTCTAGCTATCCCCAACAACAATTGAAACATCTCAATGTAGCGTTCTTTTACTTTAATTCTATATCACCCAATGAT